AGGACAGAGGGAAGCATGGTGGGAGGCAGTGGAGCATACACTCACCGCTGCCTTATGTGATGTGTACGGAAGCTGACCACCCCGGACAGCTACCGGTCGGTGGCACAGCAATTCGGGGTGGAAAGATCCACCGTCGGTGTCGTCGTGATGTAGGTAAGTCCCATGGGGAGTGGGGGGGGGGGAAGGGAATCACGGGGGTGGGAGGCAGTGGAGCATACACTCACCGCTGCCTTATGTGATGTGTTCCCTTGTGTTTCTCTGCACCCTTCTGCAGGTTGTCCACGCCATCAATGATGTCCTGCTACTGAGAGTGATCCGCCTGCACGACATGGACTCTACGCTGGCCGGCTTCACTGCCCTCGGGTTCCCCAACTGCGGGGGAGGCCTGGATGCAACCCACATTCCCGTCCGGGCCCCGGAGCATCGAGCAGCCCATTTCACGAACAGGAAGGGGTACTGCTCTATTGTTCTCCAGGCCCTCGTGGACCACCAGAGCCGCTTCCTGGACGTCTACGCAGGCTGGACTGGCAGGGCACATGACACTCGCATCCTCCGCAACTCCAGACTGTTTCACAGGCTGGAGGCAGGCACCTACTTCCCCCAGCGGTAGTTGACTGTTGGGGATGTGCCTATGCCCATCTGCATCAGCGGGAACGCGGCCTAGCCCCTGCTGCCCTGGCTAATGTAGTCCTACATGTGGCGGCCGGACCAGAACTGGGCCCAGTTCAACGACCGCCTCAACTGGGCCCAAAATCAGGTGGAGCTCGCCTTCGGCCACTTAAAAGCCCGCTTCCGTTGTTTGCTCACCCGTTTCGAGATGGGTGAGCGGAATGCAATGGAGGTACTGTCCGCGTGCTGCGTGCTCCACAGCATTGTGGAGCAGAGCGGGGAGGCCTTCCTCCCTGCATGGATGGCAGCCGAGTCACAGACATTTGAACAGACCCACACAGCTGTCATCCGCCAAGCACACCAGGATGGAGTGCGCATCCAAGAGGCCCTGACGGACATGTTCGCACAAGCCCCATAGTAGGGTCTCCTTGGTCTCCCCATACAACTCCCTACCATCCCCTCCCCTTTCTCCTCCCCTACCCTTACCTTCCCTCTTGTCGGTTCCAAGAACATAGGCCATCATTCTGAATGTTCGTCGGGTGCGTCGGATGTAGCTAGGGTTTTTCTTTTAGTTTAGGCTAGGGTTTAGGTCACCATCACCTGTCCAAGCTGTCCCGAAGAACAGGAAGAGGATTCGTGGTTCATGTGGAAGGCTCAAGTCAGCGTACCCGATTCCAGTCGTCTTTGAGGGATCTCCTGGCTGTTCCTCTCCCGAGGCCTGTAAGGACCAAAGGATTGAGGTTGCCAGCAACACTACAATCGTCCCCTGCGTCTAGGCTACGTACATATTTCTTTTGTGTGCATCTTGTAACCTTTCTTGATTGTTTGTTATCTATGTTAATATAGTTGTGGTTTAAATTTTACTTAAAATTGTCAGTATTTATTTATGTGCCACAAACCAATGACCACTTAAAGGGATGACAGGTGATAGATACAGAATTTGGTGTCCGCATTTTGTAATCCTCTTAAATTTAGTTGGCTAATTGGCATCTCAAATCATTTATTACAGTTACCTCGAGTAACACAAAACCAACACAGTTTTGTTCTCAACTGAAAAATGTCTGTTTTTATTTACAAGGGGGAGTGGGAGGAGACTTTCAACTGGGACGGGGAGAAGACCTTCAACTGGGACGGGGAGAGGGAGGAGCTATTCCTGGGAGGGGTGGCTCCTGCGAGTGCTCCTGCGGGGGCGGACCTATGGTTGCACGTGCTGTTTGCTGCCTAATGCTACACAGCATGGAACTGCTGTGGCCTGAGTGACATGCTCTCCCCCCCCCCCCGCCACTTGGGCGGGCAAGGGAAAAACGCAC